CGTCGATGAGCTATCTCAGCTCTATCAAGCGTCAGCTGGAAGAGACGACTGGCACAGAGCTTTTCCGCAACGATCCGGAGTGGTACCGACGATGTCGTCGTCATCTTCAAAAACAATATCTCATGCTTTCCATTTCGACTGGAAAAAAGCTGAAGCAACAGGCTCCTCCTATGACACTAGACGACTTACGTTCCATCTCTACAATTCTCTTTCTTCGCAATGATGTCGAAGCGCTACTAGACAGAACTCTGCTTAACAATCAATGGCTAGCAATTGGACGCAGCTCGGATATTGGCACCATTCACTTCTCAGACTTACACTGGAATGGGAACTTTGTTCTCATCGACGTCACACGGTAAGAGTTAGCTAGTACTATTTCTTCTGTTCCTATTAATTAAGTTTTCGTTCTGCAGCATAAAAGTTCGACAACAACAAAGTATTTCGATTTTCTGTTCTCCTATATGCTGGAGTATTGACCCTTTCCATGCTTTGGCATCTCAGCGAATTGCCAATGCGTATATCGCCTCGCCAAGGGTGTTCTCACAAGTATTGGAGACTACGACGGAAGCGCATGTGGCTGCGTACATCAACAGGTTATTGAAATCCATGTACAAGTATGATCACACGTTGACACTTACGAGAAATCTCCAGTCGCATTCAACACGACGAGGTGGTGCGGCGTACGCCAGCTCAAACGCCAGCGTGAACTTGTCGGATCTAGCACACAGAGGATTGTGGTCAATGGATGGATTTGCAACTCTTCTCGAATACATATCACCTACCACTGCTGCAGACCAAAATGTTGCTAAAGTGCTGGGCGGCTGGATAGATACCAAGCAAGCTGGTCATCCACCCTCGCTAGCCTGTTTCGAGATGGAATCACATCAAACATACACCAGAGTTAGCCAATTTGCTGACTCTTTACGGCTTCTCCATTTTGCAAAGAAGTCCCCGAAGGGTTTTGCTGACTGTCTTACCGCGACGCTTTTAATGTATTACCGAGACACGCTAGCAATTTCCCCACAGCACATTGTTCACCAGAAAATGCAGAGTGTACACGCCGCGTTACCACAGCTGCATTCGTGTCAGGAGGAGCTGCTGGACTGGGGTAGCAAGATCCGGAAGCGGTTTGTTACTGATAACATCCTCTCGCTTCCAGTAGAAAGTATTAAAAGCAGTCTCACGATGGAAGAACAAGCGGAACAATTTGTTGGAGTTCATACCTTTGGGGATACGCTTGAGAGGTTATTACTTGGGCATCAAGAACTTGTTGCTGCATATGAAAGTCTAAAAAACATGATGCATCAAATATTAGATAGGTTAGATCACATGCCTCGCATGGAGCACACCGTGTGCGCTGTGTGCAGTACCGGCAACGTGGCGGAGCAAACCCAGCCACCAAATGCAGCCTCAACACCGGAACTACGTCCTCCAATGGTAGAACAAACGTGGCCACACAGTTTATCCAGCTTGAGGGGCAAGCGTCTGTCCGACTTCTTGGTGCAGTATTTCGTGGAGGGTCTCGGTTCTCTTTCCAAATCCCGTGGCAACAGAAGTCAAAAGGACTGCTTGCGTGCTGTCGAAATTGTGGCGTACGTTGCTGATTTGTCTAGTATACCACCTATCCCAGCGCCAGTTCACGAGTTGGAAAGGATGCAGTGGATGTCTGCTATGGTAACCATGGCTAGTCAATGCGAGACATTGTTAGTGACAGGCTTGAGCAAAACTGACAAAGTAGAACGAGGGAAATGCAAACGACGTAGGTCTGGTAAACTTACAGGAATTGTCAAAGCCTGGAGCGAGCTAAGTGATGGTCAACGGGCTGCCTTCCGCTCGTTGTCACGCATCCGCTTTTCAGCGTCGTGACTACAGAGTAGATATGACTAAAAAGCTGAAGACCACAGAAAAAAATTGATTAAACAGAAAGATTAGAATAAAGGCCAATTTAGATTTCTGCCGAGACAGCCATACCTCAGCGGTTGCCCTCGCCAAGGTCATACTGTCATAATGCGCCTCAAAGACTAATTGCGGCATGCATTCGCTTTGATCGCGAGGCTCTGCCATCCACAACATAACTGCGCCCTTCATTCTAGCGCAAAAGTAAAGACGACAGACAGTAGTTAGCATCACACTCAGCAAACCGACAGTATTAGCGTATGTACATGCGCTCCAATGGCCTGCAAGCGTAATGCAGCTTGGCGTGCATCCGTTGAGAAAAGTGGTAGGGTCTCATGGACCGATGGTGTCTTTGTGGCGGCTCTGTGGCAGCTCTTCCGACTGGGCAGCTCTTCCGACTGCAAAATACACAAGGCTTCCCGGGGATAGACCAGGTTCGGCAGTGGACGATGTAGGCACCTTGGTGCTTAAGCAGACGTGGTCTTGCGCTTGGAGGAGCTCTAATACATCAACACACCACAAGCAATTAATTAGCCAACAGAGGGATCGCAGAGAAAGAGTAGATGGAGTAGCACATACCCCCCGCAGCGCATCTAGTTGTACGTCGTCCAAACGAACTCACCACGCACTCGTTTAAGCCGTCCTCGCGGACTCCGACGCTTACTTGCCCCTCCGAGAATTCGCCAGTGGTCTGTTCTATTTTAACCAATGAATTTTGCAGACGAAGTTAGCGGGGGTACGTTTACTCTCCCATAGTTAGTTCAAGTGTATACTGAGCGCTACCAATATCTGTTATCTTCGGCCGAGTTCCAATAGACTGCAACGGCCGAAGTTAAGACGACGTTAGCGGGTACAGTACATGTATCTGGGTGGCCCAATTAATGTTTCACCCTCTCATCAACATATTCAATACTATAGCCAAGTATAATACTGTAACAGGGTGGATTCACAGCCACACCCTGAACGGAGCGGTGGCGAACAGTGGCGTGTCCCTAGAGAACAACACGGCACTCCAGACGGAAGTTGATACGGCGAGGAAGAACAACGAAGCTCGGGTGGGTGGCAGGTGACAGTAACCGGCCACGACCAACGGAGACGTGCCGAGCGACGTGCACCGCTCATTCGAGATCTTTAGCTGAGGCGTCCCCATGAAGGGACCAAGATGGTGAACCCACCAAGGGCGATCCAGTGCTCCAAGAGAGCGGCGGGTGAGCCAGTGCCGGCTGGTGCAGTCGCTCAGTGCCAAACTTGCCACGGAGTGAGCAAGTGGAAGCGAACAGAACGAGTCGGGGCCGACAACGAGTGGTGTGTGTGACGAGAAGGGCGAGTAGGCCAAGAAGGACGAGTTGGGTGACTTGACGAGCACCGAGACGAGCACGAAGGCAGTGACGGACGCGTCACTGTGCGTGTGCTGCAGCTGGGTGGACAAGGCGGCGACAGGTGAAGGCTCACGGCGGTACGAGCACGAACGACGACACTACGGAACGCTTGGAGGTTTCGGAGTGCGCAAAGGTGTTGGCACGGGACCTGGGCAGCTTGTTGACAAATCATACGAACAGCTGTGACATTAAAACGAGAACGAGGACGAGAACGAGGACGAGAGCGAGTACAGGGGATATAATAAAGATTCTCCATTGCACGTGTATGCTACTAAACAGGACGTGAGTCCGGCGGCTTAGGCGGCTTGAGCTGTGTTGAGCTACGTAGCGAACGAGGCCAAGAACACGGACCTTGGCGAAACAGCGCAGCAGGCACCAACATCTAAACTTCCTGCCGGCAAGCAGGCAACAGGAGACTTGTTACAGTACAGAGGTAGGCCTGGCAAAAGTTGTGAGCTGCGGCCTCTTCGCCAAAATCATGCTTTATAGCGAGAGAATGGTATAAAACGGTAGCCAGACTCTAGTCGCAGCGTACTATCAACGTAGTTGTTTTCTCGTTACTTTAACGTTGCGAGGAAAGCCTTGGAAAGAGCGTAAAGGTACGTTTTCGAGCTAGCTTTTAAATGAAGCGTTCGGGGCGCTCGCTCTTGATCTAGTGCGCTGAATTACGTGTAACTGCGTCGTTTAGTGCACCTAGCTTTAAGCAAGACTACTGCATGCGAACAGCTTGGAACAAACGCCTATAGCCGATTAAAAACGCGAAAGTCGTTTTAAGTTAGCACCGGTAGTTTTCGCCGACGTGTCAATTTTGGTCCGATTTTAATTGATTCGAGGTCGCTACGGTGGTCAGGGTTCCCGGTGGGGGTTCACCTTGGGGTACGTTATCTTAGCTGATAATAAGCGGAGAGGTATGGAAACTGTCTGTCTGCATCTGCATGAGTGCATTTCCTGGAAGTACTTACCGATGAAGATGGTGGGCGCGTCGGCGTTGTATCCGCGGCGATAGTGAATCACTATTTTAATGTCAAGGAGATCACTACACCGTTCACTCTAATTAGTCGTGCTTCTAAATTATTCGTGCATTCGCGCTTTAGTGACGTCACAAATCTGGGATATTTTAGAAGGCTCATCAACTCTAAACAAAAGCAACGGTTTTGGACAAATCTCGGCAATCCTTTATTCTATGTACATTTTTGAAATTCTGTGCTACAGCCTAAGCCCATAATTAGTCATGGCATGACTAATTAGAGTGAACGGTATATTAATAAAATAGTACATGTCTCCTTGATGTTGTCGAAGGCGTAACGCTGCTTCGCTTCGTCCGAGAAGACTGCGTCGGTGAGGGGAATTTCGATTTATTGCTACGGGTCTTCGTCATAGCTGCCTTGAGTGCGCTGCTCTCTTTAATCAAGCGCTCCATTTCGGGCTTCATGGCGTTGATTTCAACCTCAGCGCCATTGTACTGCGACGGTCGCAGCAGCTGAGTTGAGGATGTTTTACCAGATCTGGGGGCAATACGACTCGAAGACACCAGCCTCCTTAAGCTTCCACTCGAACTCCTTGATAACGGTGGTCATATACTGCACCTCTGATTAATCTTCTATATTTGAAATTTGCTCACTGGGGTATTGTCCCAAGCTACATAACTCGTTAGGAAGTAGGACACCAAAAATGCACTTCTCCTCGCGTTACGTCCAAGCCACATAACTCGTAAGCCAGTTCTCCAGAAATACACTACTCATCGCGTTCAAATAACTAGGTGCAACTTAACTCGCGGATTCATGCACGACGTCGATTTCGATGCATTCTCTTGTCATCTTCCTCGTCTCCAGCCGCGGGCTGCACTTCGTCATCACTTTGAGGTGGCTCTTCTTCCTCGCTCTTCGACTCACTCTGAAGTTGATGATCGAGGTCGTTCGCCTCGTCACCACTCGCTTCCGCCTCGTTAGCCTTACCTGAACGCCGCATCCGCTTGCGAGGAAGCAACGACTCTGCCATGTCGGATCCTTCATCAGCCACAGCAAAGCGTTTGTGTCCTGATGACGTGTGTCGATTATTATGATCGATCTGCTCTTCGTGTCCAGCCTTGTTCGCTTCAGTTTGATCACCAGCAGCGCTTTCCGTCTCCTCACCTGCATTATCCACGCGTTCTACGTTCTCACCTTCGTCCTCTTCTGCGATAGATGTTCCTTGCATTGGAGTAGGCTCAGAGCTAGCAGATCGTCGTTTATTTCTCAGCGGAGGCGAGAGCATCGCACCAGTCGAATTCCTCTTGCCTGCTGCGACAGTAGACGTGATTGCTGTCTGGAAATCGAACACTGCTCGCCATCGCGAGTCCAGATCTTCACTATCACCGGGAACATCGTGTAGTGTTTCAAGTCGATCCATGAAATATTCGCGTAGTTGTGCCATGCTCGTGTTGTCTAGACGTGACACGTATACACGCATAGCCTCCAAGAACTCAAACTGGGCCGGTTGCTCAAGAGCATAGCGGACACCTTCACGCAAAAAGCGCAAAAATGGCGCTCTCAAAGATAAGGGGACTTTACCTACTCCGAGGGACTGGCTGAACCTTTTTGCCAACTCCTTCAGCTCCAACTCGCTGCTTTCCACCTTCTCTTTCACCGCTTCTTGCTCTGCAATGTCGTCGTCATTTTTCTCTTCGCTTGTTTGAGCAAACTCAATGTCTTGCTTGCCGATTAGAATGGAGCTGTACAGTTGACGAAGTGCAGCCATTTGGATTTCCAAGTAGCGTACAGGGGCATCCGTCTTCACTTGTTTGCCAAATGCCTTTACCACCTCAACACTTGACTTGCCACTCGATGTGAAACACTGCAGTACTGCCGCAGCTTGGTACTTCTTATTCGGATTACACAACGCCACTCGACCCAGCGCGACCAGCAGCTCAGCTCTCCGCTGCTGTTTTTCTTGCCATTCACGAAGGGCATTGGCTTTCTCCTCTGCAACCTCAGGGTCATTCTTCACCACATCGTCTTCAAATTCCGGCTCCTCGTCCTCGGCATCGTCCATCTCACTCTCAAAGTGCATTTGTGTGAGATGACGAAGTACATTCGGTAATGCCCATTCCAACGCATCGTATGGTGGGGTGGCATCCTGAAATTTCTCCACGAACAAACACCGAATATCGCAAAACGTTAGGAACGCAAAGCGTTGCGCCTCTTTCACATACGATACGACGTCCTCGTCTTCGAACACAATCTCTTCCATGGACTCCACCGACTGTATGTCTTGCATATCTTCGCTGTCCTTGTGCTCTTCATCCATAACTTCTTTTGTCCTAGCCAAGTGCATCTCCAACACAGAAATCAGCGCTTCTTCGAGCGTGGACCGAGATTGACACACCTTCTGAATCTGACTCTGGACGGCCGGATCAACAGCCTCGGTGTATTCACTGGCAGCATTCGAAGGAATATTTTGCTTTGCGTATTCTTCGATGCTTTTGAAAATCGGAGCCGTGGTCCATAGTAGATCGAAGTAAATAGTGGCCAGACTGTGCTTAATGGTGTCGACATTCCGAAAACCTTCGTCAAGCTCGGAGGCAGATTTCGTACGTCGATGCAATAAATCTCCCACAGCCACAACAAGTTTGTCCATCCGCCCCTGGTGCGAATCCGGTACTGTTATTTGATCATCCCTGTTCACCATCGGCAGCGACAGATCAGAAGCAAGATACTCTCGGATATTGAGGTATTTCGCCAGGCATTTAATTCGACAAAGAGAGATCCGCAGACCATACTCGACATCTGAAATTTCCTTGGTTTTGGCGCCCTTCTTCTTTCTCCCTTTCGCCTTTTTGCTTCTCGCTTTAGGGGTATCACCAGAAGCAATGGCGGAGTCATCGAACAGCTTGATATCAGCCTCCAAAAGGCGATCTGTTTTGTCCATAATCTCCTGAACCAGCTCTTGCATGAGAGCTTCTGCTTCCCGTTTTAGTGATGCATGCTCCGTTTTAAGCAAGTGGGTGATGGAGAGCGATAAACTCGTTAGCAACTCTTCGTTGGAGTGCAGCAGGTACGCGTGTTTCAGCTTTTCCAGAAGCTCTTTCATTTGGCTGCTATGGTGGCCAATCACCTCACTCCTCAGGGTCAGCATGGGAATCAATTCCAAAAGCAACGCCAACTTATCCGAGTCGGCTTGATACAAAAGAAACAAACTGGGGATGTCCTTGCAGTATGCCACGGTAATTTCTTCCTGGAATCATCGTAGCAGATGAATAGTGTCAGTGCGATACATGTTGCTACGAGTTCGTTAAGTAATGACGCACCTGTAGTTGCTCTGATTCTCTTTTAGCAGCAGCACTTGCTGATCGATTGGCGCTAACATCGACAAGCTTTCTCACGGAAGCAACAAGCAGACGCAGAAGGATTGTCTGTTGTTCACTACTGAGGTCTGGCGCAGTCTTGTCCACTAGGAGCAAATCTGTCATCACTCGCCATTCTTGAAGCACAACTGCATTCAAAACTGTTAGTTGCCAAGTTAAGTTAAAAAAGAATGAAGTGTGAATTAGCGTACGGCAATCTTCCAGCCCCCAAAAGGCATCTACGAGTGTCTCCACCGCATCCTCTGGTACGCCATAATTCTGGATATATTCCTCTGCAAACTCCACGAGAGCAATAGCTTGAGTGTTGAGCTGTTCTTTCTTCAATGTTGCATTCTTTGTCTTCGAGACAGCTACACCAAATGCGTCGTATTGAATACACACAAACTCCGCGGCGGCTTTGCGAATGTCTTCATGCTCCGCATCAAACACCAATTTTTCTACGGGCTGAAGCTCAATATCAGAGCTGATAAGACTGTGCTTGTCAACAGCGATTAAAAGATGAATGGCCTCCTCAACAACACCATCATCCACGTCGCTGCACAGCTCCAGATAGCGCGACAGAAATCGAGCTGTGAACAGCTCCAACTTTTCTGTAAATGCGTCGTTCTCATACAGCTCGCACAAAATTTCGACCACCTCAAAACGAACAGCAGCCGATCTGTCACTCAGGAGCCAGCCAAGATACTTCAGAAAACTGTCCTTGAGGAACTGATCAGGAAGAGTAGTGATCCAATGGCCGAGACACTGCATGGTTGCCACGCGAATCTCCGGCATAACGTCGCGATATCGATGCACCACAACTCCAGTAAATATCAAATTAACAAGCTTCAACACCTGCTGTAGCCGGTTCTCGCAAACCGCTCTGTTGTCTTTCAGGAGTGCCACTTTCCTGATGTTTGGGCTCTTCCCAGCACCAGGTGTTGAAGCAGGCGAATTCATCTCGGCGTTAAGTTGCCTCGTAGCAATTGCCAGTTGCTCAGAAATACTTGCCGCCGTACGTACTAAGGAATTGCTCAATGCCAGTACAGCAACTGTCGTCGTATGTCGAATTGGTCGAAGCTCGGAACTGCATACAAAACTAAAGTAAGTAAAGCACACCAATAACTCGAATAGCAGCACCTTCCAAACCTTGACAAGGTCGTTAGCCAGTCAATAAAGTTGTTCGCAATCTCCGATGTGAACAAGATCTCGCTCTCGTAGCATTCCTTCACAAAAAACTCCCAGAACTCGTCGAAATGGCGCTGGAACTTTTTCTTGCCTTTTCCACGAGACATCAGAGGATACTCTCCGTTCGCCTTCTCAAGACCCTTCTCCACGTGATTTACCAAATCGGCCATATTCAGCTGTGCCAACGGCTCTGATTCAGGGACGCACTGACCCCTCCCTCCACAAGCCTAGCAATTATTAACTCACATCAGAAAAAAAAAACTTATCACAAGACCACAATTAGTCTTCATGTCTACCTGCAAAACCAGGTTCAGCACTTCTCTCGTGGCGTTTTCGTCGTCCTCCTCAAATCGATCGCGCCACTCGCTCAGCAAGTTCTCCAACGACACCTTGCCATTCTTGACCGCGTCTACATTTACCAAATCACACCAAAAACGGTAAGATAGATCATAACTTCGCCTCTAAAGACCCTTAGCTGAGCATGCCCGCTCACCGAACAGCGAGGAAACGCCATGCTCTTGCTCATTGTCAATCCCAGCTTCCGGGGTTTCGTCCATCTTGGTGGCTCCATTTATCTTGCTCTTTCTGTCCTTTCCATTTGACTGCAAGCTCCTCGTTTGGCTCCAGGGCGAACGCTTGCGTCTACCGGATCTCACATTGGCGGTGGGCGTCCGTGCCGCTTTGCTTGCGCTTTTTTTGGGCGTCTTCACCTTGGTACCACCAGGCGTGAACTCCTCATCGTCGCCTTCTCGTCCGTCGTCACTACTATTTAGCCCACATCATGTCGTCAGAAGTTGCACTTGCACATACAAAAAGAAAGTCGAATGCGCCAACGACCATCACTCTTGTGAGCGTTGATGTTTACCTTCTTTCTTCACATTGTTCGTTGGCTACAAGCACGTCCTGCTCCTCTGCTTCGACATCCATATCGTCACTACTGTCGCGTGTGTCTTCCACTTGGTAGATCGGTGTGGGCTTGCGCCGTAGTCGAGATCCGCGCCGCGCACTCATCGATCGCCGTTGTCACCTCCGATGCGGAATTGAGTGATAGGGCAAAAAGGAAATCATCCTCTAAGAAAGCAGCATCAAATTATCCGAATGCTCTTATATAGGGATGTAGAAGTCAAAAGACAACTTCAACCACTCGCCAGTCAAAAGCCATCACTCATTCATCAAACTACCTCCAAGATGTGGCATTTCCGTTGTTTCTCGGGGGTTGCGCAGCTTCTTACAATGTGTGCGACGACACCAAGGTCGCTTCACTGCCGTTCTGCGATTCGTCGCTGCCTCTAAACACTCGTGTGGACGATTTAGTCACTCGAATCCCGCTGGATCAGGCAGTTGGGCTCTTGGTCAACAAGGCGGCGCCCGCACCAAGCGTTAATATCCCGAGCTACGAGTGGTGGAACGAGGCGCTGCACGGTGTGGCGCTATCACCTGGAGTGACGTTCAAGGGATCCATCACTGCAGCCACCAGCTTCCCACAGGTGCTGAGCACCGCGGCGTCGTTCAACCGCTCGTTGTTCTACCAGATCGCAGATGTAATCTCCACTGAAGCTCGAGCGTTTCACAATGCGAAGGATGCGGGACTGACGTTCTGGACACCTAATGTCAACATCTTCCGTGACCCGAGATGGGGGCGGGGGCAGGAGACACCAGGAGAAGACCCGTACCTCACTGGGGAGTACGCAGTGGCCTTTGTGAGAGGCCTACAAGGCGAAGGAATGGAAGGAAGAGAAGTCGAGAACAGCAAGTTCTTGAAGATATCAAGCTGCTGTAAACACTTTTCAGCGTACTCGCAGGAGGTGCCGAGACACCGCAACAACGCGATGGTCACCAAGCAAGATCAAGCTGACACCTACTTCCCGGCATTCGAAGACTGTGTGAAGCGAGGCCATGTGAGCTCCATCATGTGCAGCTACAATGCTGTAAATGGTATACCGTCTTGTGCTGACAAAGGCCTGCTGACTGACCTGGTGCGTGGTCAGTGGAAGTTTGACGGATACATCGCTTCGGATTGCGAGGCTGTAGCTGACGTGATCGATCACCATCACTACACCCAATCACCTGAACAAACGTGTGCAACAACACTTGACGCTGGTATGGATCTAAACTGCGGCGAGTTTCTGAGGCAACATCTTCCTAAGGCTCTTGAGCAAGGCATCGTTACTACCGAGATGATACACAATGCCCTGAAGAATCAGTTTCGTGTGCTGATGAGACTCGGGATGTTTGAAAAGGTGGAGCCGTTTGCAAACATCACGAAAGACTCAGTAGACACAACAATGCATCGGCAACTCGCACTGGAAGCTGCTCGTCAATCCATTGTATTGCTCAAGAATGACGGTAACACTCTGCCTCTGGCCACCAAGGACTTCACTAGAGACAGATCACTTGCGTTGATCGGACCACACTTTAACGCCAGTGCCGCTCTTCTTGGAAACTACTTTGGTATCCCATCGCACATTGTCACGCCGCTGGAGGGAATCTCGCAATTTGTACCGAATGTTGCACATTCGTTGGGGTGCAAAGTTTCCGGTGAAGTGCTTCCAGACTTCGATGACGCTATTGCAGTGGCCAAGAAGGCGGATCGCCTGATCGTGTTCGTGGGTCTTGATCAGAGCCAAGAGAGAGAAGAGATCGACCGCTACCACATCGGTCTGCCGGCTTTCCAGAGTACACTATTGAAGCGCGTGCTGGAAGTTGCTTCACACCCGATCGTCTTCGTTGTCATCTCTGGCGGTTGTGTTGACCTGTCGGCTTACAAGAATCATCCAAAGGTTGGAGCGATTGTTTTTGGCGGGTATCTGGGACAAGCTGGCGGTCAGGCTCTGGCTGACGTGCTGTTTGGTAAATACAACCCGTCTGGAAAGCTTCCGCAGACATTTTACGACTCCGAATATGTAAATGCAATGTCGATCTACGACATGCACATGCGACCGACGCCCGTGACGGGAAATTCAGGAAGAACGTATCGTTTTTTCACTGGAGTGCCAGTCTATGAGTTTGGGTTTGGTCTGTCTTACACCACGTTCCACAAGAACTGGTCAGATGAACCGCCCCGCGAGCTCGATGCTGCGATTATCGCGCAGCAGCTTGACGAAGACTCGGGTACGGAGAGCCACGCCTGTGTGGCGACATTTAACATTACGGTAACGAATGCAGGTGCCATTTCGGGGGAAGATGTCATCTTGACATACGTTGAACCTCCTCTCGCAGGAGAAGGTGGACGTCCGTTGAAGTCACTGGTTGCATTTGAGCGTACGCCGCTGATTGCTGCAGGACAGAGAGCTACTGCGAAGATTTGTCTGGAGGCGAAAGCGTTTGCTCTCGCCAACGAAGCTGGCAACTGGGTCGTCGAACCTGGTAACTGGACCATTCATGTGGACACTCTGCAGCACAAGGTGGACATTCAGGGCCCTATCCAGAGTGAGCCAGGCGTAGAAGTTACGCGCAAGCCACTACCTCGTGCTGTGTGGGAATAAGGCTGGCACAGCAGACTTGGATTTCGTCGGCTTGTCAGGGGGGGTGAGGTCGATCTTTTTCGTGTCAAAGATTGACTCGTGCGCGTTGTACAGTAGGTGCAACGACGTAAGCAAAATGATGTGACGTCTTCGAGATTGTTACATACTGTGTTATCCGCAATTTGTATGTTTCAGTGAATTAAGCTGCAAAACGCCTAATTTAAGCCAATCCCCATAGGGTTTTCATTCCTATCGTGTATTATTGGCAGAAACTTCGTCTCCAATGACCTCCAGTCAAAAGTTGCAGTGCTCAGTGCGGAATTGTATTGCTGGCTGTCAAGCTGCCTCCAGATCCACCACCATGGCTAAGAAACAGAAGGAGCAGCAGGAGGATGAGGACCTGGTAATGACTATCGCGTCCGACGAGGAGCTTTCTAATGCCGAGGAGAGCTCAGATGAGGAGAATTCGGAGGATGAAGCCGCCACGCAACAACAGCAGGAGCAAATTAACGAGGACTTTGAGTTCGATGAAGGTGGCGCCTTCCACTCGTCAGGCGGCAGCTCGTGGGACTTTACAGCCGCTATCTCCCGTATTGAGAAGATGGAGAGTGGCATCCCTACAGCCACTAAGCGTACGTCTATTCAGGCAAAGATCGACAAGAGACGAAAGGAGAAAGAGGACGAGAAGAAGAAGAAAAAGAAGAAAGTAAAGCAAGAGAAGAAGAAAGAGGAGAAGAGTGACAGTGAAGACGACAGTGGCAACGAGAAGGAGAAAGACGATCAAGCGACGAGTGAAGAGGAGAACGAAAACAGTGACGAGGAGCTGCAAGAGTCGGACTTAGAGTCCGAGTCTAAGTCTGAGAAGGAGCAGGTTGAAGAAGAAGACGTCGTTGTGGAGGAGGAGCGTCTCCAATCTGCATTAAAGGACAGCAAGAAGGACCAACAGAGTCGCGAGGAGCTGGTGGACGAGCTGGAGAAGAAGAAAGCGGCCGAGTTCTTCGAAGCCGATCCTTTCGCTGCCCAGGAGTTTGCTAAGACGAAATTTGAGACGTTCGCCGACTTGAAGCTCTCGCGTCCGATCATGCGCGCCATTTCCCACATCGGTTTCGAGAAGCCGACACCGATTCAACAGCGTGCGATCCCTATCGCTCTCACTGGCAAGGATATCTGTGCTAGTGCGCAGACGGGTAGCGGTAAGACCGCCGCCTTCCTGTTGCCCATTCTGGAGCGTCTGCAATTCCGCTCGCGACGTGTCCAGTCCACTCGAGTGATGATCATCTGTCCTGTGCGTGAACTGGCGACTCAATGTCAGTCGATGCTCGAGCAACTAGCTCGTTTCACGGATATCACGTGCTCGCTGGCTGTCGGCGGATTGCCTCTTAAAGCTCAAGAAGCAGAGCTGCGTAACCGTCCAGACGTTGTGGTGTGTACTCCTGGTCGTATGATTGACCACCTTCGTAACTCCAAGAGTGTTCACATGGATGATCTCGAAATCTTGGTGCTGGATGAAGCTGATCGTCTGCTTGAATTGGGTTTCACTGAAGAAGTACTGGAGCTGGTCCGTATGTGTCCTGTACAGCGTCAGACAATGTTGTTCTCCGCTACGATGACGTCCAAGGTCGACCAATTGATTGACTTGTCGATGAAGCGTCCTGTGCGTATCAGTACCGACCCGCTCTTCGATATGGCCAAGCACTTGGTACAGGAGTTCGTGCGTATCCGTCCGAATCGAGAAGATGATCGTGAAGCAATTCTCCTGGCTTTGTGCACGCGTACGTTCCGCTCGAACACGATTGTGTTCATGGAGACCAAGTCCCATGCGCATCGTATGATGATCATTTTCGGTCTTGCTGGTATCAAGGCGGCTGAGCTTCACGGTAACTTGCAGCAGAGAGAGCGTCTGGAGGCGCTCCAGAAGTTCCGTGATGGCACGGTGGACGTTCTTTTGTGTACGGACATTGCTGCACGTGGTATCGATGTACGTGGTGTTCACGCTGTCATTAACTACGAAATGCCCAAGGATATCACCACGTACGTGCATCGTGTGGGTCGTACAGCTCGTGCTGGACGCAACGGTCGTGCCGTCACGCTCACGAGCGAGTCTCGTCGTCTGGTGATGAAGCAGGTGTCGCGTCACTGCCAGGGCTTCGTCAAGTCTCGTGCTGTGCCTGATCCCGTTATCGCGCAATGGAAAGCTCGCATTGAGAGCATGCTGGAGGACGTGAAACTGGTGATGCACGAAGAAACACTGGAGAAACGTATGCGTGAAGCTGAGAAGGAAGCGACTCGCGCGACGAACCTGCTGAAGCATCGCGACGAGATCAACGCGCGACCTGCGCGTACGTGGTTCATGTCGGAGAAGGAGAAGAAGAATGTGAACGAACGTGCTGAAGAGGACCGTCGTGCTAAGGAGGAGGCTGCAAAGGAAGAAGCGGAGAGTGCAGACACCATGTCGCGCGCTAAGAAGCTTAAACTTATGAGTCACAAGAAGCGACGACTGTTTGAGATCCGTGAGCGTGAAGAGCGGATGCTTGCGGATGCTGAGCGGGATGATGAAGAAGACACTGGCAAGAAGGGCAAGAAGGGCGCTGTATTTACGTCCATGCACGTTGCTGGAGCTGCCAAACGCGCTAAGAAAGCTCAACAGGACACTACACGATCACGTGAAGAGGAATCCATCGCAGAGATGCACGAGCGCAAGCGTCTCAAGCGCGAAAAGGCTCGCGCTGCACGCAGCAGTCACAAATCTGGTGCGTTCGACGTCGACATGACTAACGATGGCACGGCGGTCCCAAAGTCCAGGAAGCAGCGCGATGCGAACGCAGGACACAGCCCGTTCGAGTTTAAGGAGAAGATCACGGACTACAAGAAACACGCCAAGAAGAGCTCCAGCTCCTTCAAGTCCAAGGCCAAATACAAGCGGCGCAAATAGATGTTAGAAGCGCTCCTGTGCTCAGCAGAAATGTACCCATGTCTTCCTTTCACTAAGCTCTTTTTTTTTTCTCAAATGCAACACGTATTTTCGAATTCCTACTGCTTAGCCGAAGCCGAAGCCCTCAGATCCCTCACGGATCGCGAGTAGAAGACACTGCTTCAGCTTGTCCTCGCTCTCGTACTCGGGTAGATCCAGTTGGTTGAAACTGTAGCAACGAGAAGAAAAGAGTGTTAAAATTGCAACAAATTAAGGAAAACGAGAGGCTTCACTTACCAGGTATGTGCGGACGGTAACGAGCTGTTGTTGCCGAAAGCCTTGTGGATGTTGAACTTCTGCGTGCCACGCATTCCCTCCAGCGCCTTGAAGCCCTCGAGAGGCACTTTAGACGTACCCGTCACAAACTGCAGGAAGAGAGCTCGTTCCTCGTGAGTGAACGAGTACAGCACGTTCCAGAACCAGCGGATAACTGAGTCAGTGGGCTTGTAGTTCGCATACTCCGTGTTGGCTTTCAGGTCGTCGATATCAATCTCAGGCATGCCAGAGATCAACAACTCCAGCTCGTTCTCATTGAAGATGGCAATCAATTCAGGAGGCACCAGTTGATGGAAACCCTTGAGGAATGCATCGATCTGCTGTCGAATTCCTGTAGCCATGCGATGATGAGTCACGAGTTTCACATACTCCATCTTGTTCTCGTCTGTCACGACGACATTGCGGCCGTTCGGGATCAAGTCAACCACCTCTACTTTGCCAAAGTTCGACTGCTCCGCTGAGAAAGTCAGCTCAAGTCCCAGATCCGCAATCGAGTTGTCTAGGATCGAGTGGAGATTGCGATAATACTCCGGGTCGATGGCTTCCATGTCGTGATACGAGATCGGCAGCTGTAGGATGTGCTTGTAGAACGAACGCGTGAAGTGGGCATCAAGAAGCTGCCCGTCTGCAACCGCCTTACCCAACACCTTTCCGACAAACTCGAAGTAGCTGAGGTGATCCTTGTTCACATAGGACAGAGGATTCGGCTGGAATGTTGGCGAGTCAGCAGCAGACGTGAAGAGCACGTAGTTCGGGTTGAACATCTCACGTGCCAGAATCATATACCACTCTCGTGTCACTCCACCAGCGTCAATACCTTCTTCTCCGGTAAACGAGATATGCAACTTCCGTCTCAATTCAGTGCCGCTGCGCATCCGTAAAGCATAGTAGGAATCCTCAAATATGTGCTCTCGACGTACCGGAATGCGGACAGAAGAGCTACCACCTCCGTGATTCCGCAGCGCTGCTTGACGTAGACGCTTCATGGAGCTGTGGAAATATGTGCGCTTGTTATCGAACGCTAGATAAGCCCGACATCGAGAAATCTTAATCAACGCAGCCAAAGATGTATCCAATAGCGCTGATTTTTCGCGAACGAGAAGATTCAGCAGCACACGGTTCGACTCCACGAAGTTCGCGAGTCTCATGGTCTCACTTGCCTCGGAGAATGATGATAGAGCCGACGAACTGCGTTTGAGCACACTCTTCGGTGACACTTTTTGCTCGTTCTCCATTAACGCTGTGGCACCGGCGCCATCAAAGCCAGCAGCACGCAGTGCTGCCACGACTGCTTCTTCGCGCTCGCTAGAATCAGGTACGCGCAACGACATCGAAGCCGCATCTCGAGCGTTGACCACAAAGAAAGCTTCCACCAGGGGAAGGAACCGAGCCAACAGCGCCGCCATCGCACATGACGCGCCTGCACTCTTGCCTTCAATCACCATGCCCTCAGCATCGTCTCCTGCAACAGCCTGGGATTCAGAGGCCACAACTGGAGAGCCCAATGGCGCTGTACCTGTAGGAGCAGCAGCACTGCTTTCCTGGTCGTCAAGACCACCCTTCGCACGTGCCTCAGTCAGTGACAAACTCAGGGCATCCCATAGCGGGTCCAGCCCGATGGTTTGGCAGCACTCGGCAAACTCCGTCGTGCTTTCGCAGACGTCTGACAGCGAATGTAGTAGCCGAAGCAGTTTAAGTTCATCCTGGGCAGACGGCAGTACTGCTGATGACTCGTATCCCGTAACTCCAGCAGGTAATTTCACTTCCTTGTACTGATCAACGTGAGCTAGTGTGCTCGCATGCCGTACGATCGCACGAATTATAAGCTCGCGGTTACCGCTCACGTGGTTCAGTAGCTTCAACACCGCGAGTGTGCGCTCCTGCATTTGAGCTGTGCACAGATCCATGCTCAACACCGACACAATTTCAGCCATACGCGCCTCATCTAGCTCTACAGCTGGGACTGCTACCCAATCATCACCAGGCTCTGGAGTTGACGCGTCGCCTTCGTCGCCTTCCTTCTTCTCCTCATTCTCCTTAGCTGGCTTGTGAAGTCGTTCCAGAGGTGACAAAACCAGCTCCAGTAACTCCAGCAACGCATCCAAGTTTGTACCATTGCGATACACCACCGGGAGGGACAGCAAGTCGATTAGAACGGCCACGCCGCACTCCTGAGCCTCCATTTTCGCAGTATTCTCCCCTCCATTTGATACATGACGCATGCCGTGAGGCTGAAGCATTTCCACCGTAAACCGCGGGTTATACTTGGCAAGCGACACAAGAACATGCAGCATGCGGTTCACAACGTCAGCGGGTACAGCTGATGGTCCAATGGCATGATTTCCATCGATACCACATCCATACATCCTGCTCGGGGGAAACTGAATCTTGCCACTACCATCATCGTCATCGTCTTTTTCATCTCCAGGAATCAAGGGCTGGGAAAGCGGCAACGAAATAACTTGCAGCAAATTACGTCGAACGCTACAACGTGTCAGCGGGTACAGGCAAATATTGGCAAGTAGTCGCTGGAAAACTCGGTTCTGAATGACCGACTGGGTCATAAACAGTAGGCGGAGCAAACCTCGCACACACCGATCGTCAAAGATTCGCTCACCGGCTTCCTCTTCTTCGTCCTTCTCGACACGCAACAAGCCCTTGTGAGCCTTGGAACCGCCAGCTCCTTGGCGGTACTCACGACGACTGCTACGACGTCCTCCTCCTAGTTCATCGTACATACGAGACCGTCGACGACCGCCTCCTCGTTCTGGGCTGTGAGAAGTCAGCATGCGTCGCAAGGTAGGACGATTAAACAGCTCATCCATGTCGCCTTCGCCGCCACCACCGCCACGGTCTGCTGTTCCACGCTCGCGCTCACGGTACGTTGTGCGGAAGGCCGCACGTTCACGCAGCACCATCGCTTCCGCACGAACCTGAGACGGCAACGTCTGCAGAAACGCATCATCACAAGTAACCAGAATTTCCTCGCGCAATTCTGGTGCCAATGAAGCCACAAACGAGGCATTATCCATCTCTTGAGCGCGTGACGTATCCGCAGTCTCCGCACGAGCCGCTGCCTCGCGCTCGCGTCTCTCGTTCTCCAACACTTCGGCTCGGATATCCGGAGGCAACGCCTCTAGCGTTTCACGATCAAAACTTGAGTTGGCCATGTCCAGATCCATCTGTGACATACTCTCCGAACCACCACCGCCTCCTGCTGTAGCTGTATCACTGCGCGCACTTGTGGATTCAGCAACTGCAGGAGCATTCTGAGCCACAATCTCCGCTTGCATATCTGGCGGCAATGAAGCAAACACCTCAGCATCCATGCCTTCAGGGCATCGATACTGCGGCTCTTCGGGTTGGTCAAGTAAAGCAGCCGACAGCTCTCCCGTAGCGGAGTCACCAGTTGACGCCTGTGTCTCAGACGATGGAAGTTCCTCCGACTTTGACTCTTCTTCGACATCGCGGGCCCGACTCGTGTTATCACCAGTAGCAGTAGATTGGGAATCTGTCGCACCAAATCCTGATAGATCCAGCGTAAAGTTCATCATAGAGTCCGAAGGCGAAGGTGTCGCTGTTGTTGCGGACGTCTCGGCAGAGCTCAAAGACGTCGGTGCAGGAGGAGGCGCCGCACTCTCCAAGCTGCTTGCTCTTACTGCTGATGAAAAGCCAACACTCGTGTCGTGGCCTTCTAGCGTTGGGGCGTCTGCGTCTACTGCGTCCACGTCGACGTCTGATTCGGGTGGTGACCGTAGCAACGAAGTTTCTCCAAGAGTACTCGTAAGTTCCAGGACAGAAGCAGCATCGGTAGATCTCTCTGTTCTCTCTCGATCCGCTGAAGTATCCGTCTGAGCGTTGCTTGCTGATTGCTCTCCACTCCGCGGTGTTCCAGCAGCACTCCGATCTTCCATGATATCGTCAACATCTTGAGAGGAAGCTGCTTCGCCGCGTTCAGAGGCAGAAATCGCAGTTGGTTCATCATCATCAGCACAAATGCGCGTGATATGTTGCTCGAGTCTCGAGGCCACTGACCGAACATCTACATCACGTCCTAGACCGCCAGGACCCCAAATTGCCGGATTGGAAGCTGTGCCGCCCATGATATTGCCACCGCGAATACCAATTCCACGTGATAAATCAACGCCGACAAAAACGTCACTAAAAATGTCGCGATCACCTCGTCGGAAGCCGATACGTTGGCTACGAGAGGGCAACGTTGACGTCGGGATATCCAATGAGAACTCGCTCAGCAAATTTGATACGGCAGACAAACGGTTAATCCGACTTGGAGGCCGCCCCCGGCTTCCTGCGCCGGCACGTTGCAGCATGTCACGCCCCACAACCAACCGGGATCGGTTGCCACCCAGCGGCAGTTGCGTCTGAACCTGGTCAGTCAGCTCTTGTAGCTCACGCAGAAGAGACGAATGGCGAGGTACTGAAAACCTGCCAGGGTTACGCAACAATCCGTTCGAATCCAGCAAAATCGCGTCTCCACGTCCACTCATGCGCAGCAACGGATGGGTCGTTGGACTTGCAGTGAATTGATCTACACCGTTGCCACCCGGGCGGCCTAGTTGGCGTTCACGACGCGATCGATCGCCTCTTCCACCGGCCTCAAATGATTCAAAGAGGAAGTCATCGTCGAGCATATCTGGTAGCTCTTCAATGTACTGTAGAAGAGAATTCGCCATACTGCCAGCACCACGTCCCAATCCGCTTTGTGAGCTTGCAGAAGGTCCAAATTCAGCTCCACTTCCCATGTGACTGCTTGTTGTAGCAAGATCCGCTTGAGCTGAAGCTTCACCCTGTACTTCTTCGTCGTCTTCCACATCACCAAACGTGAGCACGAGAGTCTGTCCGCTAGTAGAAGAGCTTGATACGCTACCACCATTACTATTGTACAACCCAAGGGCATCACGCATGGACTCGAGTCTGTCCTCGGAGCTTCTGGACTGCTGACTTCCTTCACTGGCACTATTACTACTCGGTCTGGCGTTCCGAGCTGATGCAAGACGAGCGCGACGTCGCTGCTCTTCGGCAAAGAGCGCCTCATCATCGAGCATGAACAAGTAGGAGAACTCTTCTTCGTCAACTTCATCCAGCGCATCCAAAATCGAAAGCTCCGAGTCAAGAGACCCCCACAGACGATTCGAAGATGTACGGCGACTCGTTCCATGACCACCCGTACGACGAGAAATGTGGAGATGGTGGTGCTCCTCGAAGTCATCTTCGTCATCCTCTTCATCCTCGTCGTCGTCCTCATCCTCGTCGTCTTCATCTTCATCGTCGTCATCATCGTTGTCATCATCCTCATCCTCTTCGCCTTCTCCTTCATCCGTGGAATGGTCAGATACGCTACTGCCGTCACTGCGCTCGTCGTCACTCTGCTCATCGTCCTCGTCATCATCATCGTGCATATCATGGTCGTCCATCGCAGATAACGGGGATCGCATCGAAATATCGTCATCATCCTCTTCCCGCACCGGATAAAAGCCGGATCCAGAGGTATTCGTAGCTTCTCTGGCGTCTACATCCACGTCCATTCTGTCACCCTGGGCAATTATGTCCTCTGAAGAAGCTGCAGGGGAAGCTGATGCTTCGGCAGTGGCTGACATTTCAGTGCCTGGACCGCTTACCGATTGGGTTTGACTGCCTTCCACTGCACCAGCATCACCCGGGACAGTTGAACTGTGGTTGCGCTTCTTAAGCAGACGTCGCACGCGATGCGTCACAAATGAACGCGTTAGAGTGGACAGTGGACGCAGCAACATCGTGCAGGTAGCGTGCGCCATTGGATGCGTCAAATCGATCTTCCGTAGCGCCTCCGCGAGCAGTGTCACGAAGGAGTGTTTGCCCTTGAGACCTCCTCCCCAGTACAACCTTATCCCAGGCAAACCCCTTGGACGACCCCTTTGGCCACAAGATACTCATGATCAAGCCTGACCACGCATGTAATGAGCTCAGTGCACGTTCATCACGCACGCTCAGATCTTCATGCTCGCTTGCAAGATTCACAGCACCACTTTGGGGCCACTCTTGGAGCAAATGAACAAGCTCTAAGATGATACACTTCGAGCCTTCTCCAGAATGACTGCCGATCCTCACAAGCAGTCGGTGCGCGTTATGCACACGCAGCCTTGTACGACTGTCAACGAACACTTTCACGTCTGCGACTAGGAGATCGGCATCGCCACTGCCAAGTCTGCTATTCCCATAAAACCCGTCCTCCTTCAACGCTCTGCGAGCCGCAGCAAACTGACAAAGGTCACGCGAGGGCAAAAATTCACGCAGCACCAAACGTATAAAGCTCCCGCGTTCTCCATGCGAATCCACTTCGTCTTTCGCCTTTGCCAGAACTGTCGCGCACGCAGGGAAGTACGTGATCAGATGAGCAAGAAGCTGCAAATACACTCCCACACACATCCCCGCCGACGTGTTGCCCGACGTCTGCTGCTTGTCACACGGCTTCTTGGCGTCCTTTTCGACGTCCCACAATCGACGAATGCGTCCTATGATCTTGTGCACAATAACGTGAGCCTGGTGCTTGTGGCCCTTGGAAAATTTGTGCGGAGCTTTCGTCCCACTAATCGCACTGCCTTGAGCCGACACAGGTTGACCCGCAGATGGAGCTGTTGCTGCTTCGGTGCAGTCAGTCTTTTTCGGTCTAGGCACGATGTATGCTCGGCCTGACTCGGTCTTCTTAACACGCACCGAATTCTGCAATGCCTTGAGGAATACCGCTTCATTGCGAGCTGCAAATGGGGCGACTTCAGTCAGCAATGCGCGCGGCGTGATGCGCATCTGGCTGGGTGCGCCAAATCGAGTCGACAATTTGGTAATTGCTCGCTGAATCTTCTCTTCCATCATATGCTCTAGAACCTCAGGAGATTCTAAGACCTGCGAGAGCAACGTACCCGTCAGTTCTTGGTATCCAGCGAAGAAAAGATCTTCCGAAATGTCCAATACAGCGTCAAGCCCGCCATATGCCGAAAAGTACGATGCCAGGTCATACTCGAGCGTTAAGCGCGACAGTAGCTGCCAAATCGCATGAGCGACAGCCTTGCCATCACTCGTCGAGGCCGCAGACGATCCCCGCTTCAGCATTTCTAAGCAAACTGTTACTAATTTCTTCTCAAACTCAGTGTCTTCGACCTGGTTCGCTGCACCACCGCTCTCTTTTGACTCATCTCCATTCTTCGTTTCAGAGCTCACCAAAGCGGTATCGAGAGAAAGTGGTCCTGCGGTAGATGCTTGCTTAGCCGCTCTACCAGTAACAACGGCGTCGAGAACTAATAGCACAGGAGTGGAGGAGGGCTTCAGAATCTCGTTACTCGACACTGAGGACACGATCTTGTCGATACACGACGGTGTTTGCTGTTGCATCGCGGTCCACGAGTCAGAGTGCAGCTGAAGCACGAGTGCAAGCAGGTGGGTCAACATGGTCAAATACTCATCCCCGCCTTCATTGCCACCGTCGAAATAGCCCAGAATAGCTGTATTGAGACGCTGGATCACCAAATCTCGGTCTTTATCTGAGCGCGAGCACAAGAAACTGAAATACTCCGCAATCGCCTTGACCAAGTTTTGGCTCGGATATAAATTATTGGGTGTCTCCGAATCCTTTGCGCGTGTCGGATCCTCACACTTTTCCTTTTCGGCTTGCACACGTAAAATTTGAAAGCAAACCGCTTCGAAACTGTCCCTTAGCGACGTATAAAGCGCTTGCAATTCGTCTTCCACTTTCTTCTCTTCTGCTGCTTCCCTCTCTCGACGAAGGCCGGCCTCCGTAGCTGCACTGTCCTCACCTATCGTTTCGTTGTGCTCCGTTTCATCGCCTTCCACGTCATTCTCGTCTTCAGGGTGGGCCAGAATCCACTCCATCGCTAGCTCCATATTGTTAACTTGAACATGTCGGAGTGCACGCTCGACTCGAGGCTGCTGAAACCCCATCGACACCAAACTCTCTACAATCTCCGAATCCGGCTCAAAAGACTGACGGCGACTACTTCCTCCCAGTCCAGACGACCCACCGCCACGTGTTCCCCCAAAGAGAGCACGTCGAAGTGACAACGCTTCGTTATAGAGTTCCGTGCTGGAGTTTCGTTCACGGTTGCCACGATTAAAGCCCAGCCCTTGGCGACGGCCTAGCACACTCTCGCCATCGGAGCCCACAGCTTCATCGTCAGTATCCAAACGATTCTTTAATATCGTCACAGCAATAGGCATAATTTCTGCCAAACACGAATCCACGGACGAAGTCAAAAAGTTGGGGTTCTTCCAAATTGACAGCAACGCACGCACACACATTGCATGCAGCTGGACCGTCAGCTTCTTAGGTTCAAATGGCGCGTCTTCCGATTCCCCTGCTTCATCACTGGTAAGCAGCGCAGCTGTCAGCGGCGACGCAGACAGAGCTTCCAGGTTCGACAGCTTCCGCAGAACGCTTGCAGCGATATGAAACGACGTCAACGCCATTTGCGAGGACTTGCTACCGGTGCTTGTACCTTCTCCATCGAGGCACACCGTAAAGAAGCGCTCGACAATATTCATGATCACGTCCATAAGGTTCGAGGCTGTGAATTGAGCGCCGGCGCAAGTGGCGATCGTTTTGCCACCCTTAATAACACCGCCTTCTACTTCAGAAGCGTTTTCTTGAGCCATAGCAACATCATCACTCGATGAAGGATGCGCTTGTGGCGATACTTGCACCTCGGAAACGTCGCCAATCGGCTTCATGAGCTCCACGAGCAAGAGAGTGTTTGCTTGCTTTTTCTTTCCCTCGAAAAGCACGATTGAAATAGTCTCCAGCAGGAACGTAAGATAGTACTGCTGTACAAACGTATCGATCTGTGTCGCGCGAGTTACTGCCACGACATAAAGCAGATGACCCTCCAAAATCTGCGTCGCCGTTCGTGCTAACGCTCGCGCATGTGGAGCTAAAGGCACAGCGATATCATCTCCTCGGCGATGCTGCATTGGAGCAGATAACAAGACCTTGCTATACGCTGTTAAAAGCCCACGCATACTCAGCGAAAAGCGCAGAAGAAGAAGAGATCCCATTTTCCAGAGTCCAGCTCCTCGATGACCACTACTGGCCGCAATAGCATCTGGTTTGTCCGTTGTATGCACCTCCATGTTGGCATCCGCGGCACCATCAACCTGCTTTTCTGAGCTCTTCTCCTTTCGCTTGTTCTGGTGTAGTGCCGCCAAACTCGCCCGCTCAAACTGTACCGAACGGTCCACACGGAATAAACGGGCCATAACTTGCTGCGTCGAAGACGCAGTAAAGTCCGTAAACCAACGCCGACTCTGCATGTGAGTGTGCGCAGTTTCCAACGTCCAGACGATGACAGACGCAAGCCACTCAAGTACTGCCAAGACGCGAAGATACTCTCCAACAACCAAGACTTTATCGGCAATGGGGTTCGTAGCACTGCTCTTTTCGAGTCCACCCACCAGGTCAGCCAAGTCAACATCGGGCAACGAGCTCAACACTTTTTCGGCGCCCTCTCCGCTCTCGCTCAAAAACCACGGTAAGCCAACCTTTGCACGAGCGCGTTGCAAGTTGTCCATCTGTATTCCCAGCTCTTTTGTGATTGCCCCGAGAAGGTTCGTAGGCTGTTGGGAGGCGTACGAACGAAGCGCAAGAGTTATCGACTGCACTGCTGAATTATGAGCCAAAGCGTTTTCGGGCAACCCACTCCTCGCTGCTTTCTTACTCGGCATAGCGTTTTCCAAAAACGCGGACGTGCTCGGTAAAATCAGTTGATAGAGCGCTAGAAGCAACCGAATGCCCCCAAGATCCGCAAAATAGGCCGCATGCTCGGACTTGGATAGCAACGGCTCCAACAAATCCGCTACGTGAGTAGTCATTCGAATTAAAATGCCGTTAGTCTTGTCTCCGACAAACTGGGGCATTGTCGAGGCTGTTGACGAGCAGCTTTCTTCACCGAAACGAATTACTTTCTTTAAAGCATGAACTGCAGCTTGGATGGCGGCATTCTGGAAGCTAGGGACATGTCGCATAAGCTCAAAGATACCAGCACCAACAACGGCCGCCGTATCACCCTGGAAACAATAATCCTTGGACTCTTCTTCTGTGTACTGCGGAAGTGCAAACACATCGAGGAGGTGCATGAGTGGCTCGTACTTTGCCACCTTCTCAGCGTGTGTCGTGGTAAGGCACAAGGCATTCAGCACTGTTGGTACTGCAGTCAGTAATTCACTGGATGGAGGCAACAGGATCCGAGATGGATACAACTCCGCAATGTCCCATCGTGTAAGTGTCATCAAGAACGCGTCTGCCAGTCCGGTAGCATGGACATGATTCACACTGGCTGGGTCGTTATTGATAACATCCGAAACCACGATGGCCGCCTGGGCAAATACGACCGGTCCAAAGATGTTCACGTTGAACAGAAGCTGCAGCAAAACCTTGTTGAGAGCACTACCTTCGCGAATAGCGCGGCTTGTAGCTCCTGCGCTCATCACACCTTGCGAATGGAACGACATGGATAACGACGCTAAGATGGCTAGCAAAAGCACTGTTTTTGTTTCGGAGACTGCCGACGAGCTTATTGCACCGCCCCTTGAGCCAGCAATACTGGCACACTCCAGTTTGAGCCGATCCACGAGAATACCGACTCCATTCAAGTCACGATAGAGGCCAGCTGCTGCTGAATGACTGCTCACCGTAATTTCAAGTGCTTGTACACACTGAGTCGTCACAGCCATGTGAAATGCACTCACCGACGGCATTGTAAGTACGTGCAGAAGAGCTGGGACTATCCCGTTTTCTGTGAGAACAGCAGCGCCAGACTGAATGGCCACTACAGCAGTCAGCAGCCCTAAAACAGCCTCCATCCAGCATAGTTTCGTCTCCTGGCCGTTTCCGCTGCCAACACTTCGGAATGGGAGCACACTGACTACCTCAGCCTCCTGAGGAGATAAAAATTCTGTTGTTGCCTGCACAAACGCGACTGCTAGACTCATATCCATGTCTGTATCCGATGTTTCTGACGTGATAGGAGGAGGGGACGTAGACCCTGAGGTCGCACCTGAGCCAAGTGCAGTAACATCTCCCAGTTCAGCCGTACAGAAACGCACGAGGGAAGGAAAAACGCCATGTGGCGTCCCCTTTACAACGCCCAAGGCTTGCAACACATTGGACTGACGACCAAGCACACCCATCCCTCCAGCTCTCCCAACTCGATCGTTCACTAGCGCAGTCAACACAAGTAAAGCGGTCACTCGTACACGTACAGGCACATGTTCAATACTCTCCACACGAACGAGCTCCACAATCCCCCGCGTAAGCTCCGGATGCTGTTCCACGTAATTCGTCACATCCCACGCATCACTGAACAGCGAAAAGAGCGCAAGCAGCGCGTGCAATCGCTCCACCACTAAATTCTCCCGTGCCAACGCACTTCGGGACGCATAGCACGCTCGTACCTGTGTATATAACTGGAAATGCAGTCTCGCGGGGATCTTGTGCTGCTCAATTAGACATTCACACGCCGCCGCCGCCGCACTCGCGGCCTCCGTAGGAGATGTACTAGCTGTCACTATGTCCTCATAGGGCGGGATGGTCACACTTACAACATGAGACGTCGCATTCTCTTCCTGGTCCGAGCTGTAAAACTGAAAGTCCACGTCTTTGAAGGTCGCAGCACTCGCCGCATTCAAATAGTCTACCACCTCCAAGCTGTTTCTGGGTGCTCCTCGACCTTGTGCTACTGTTAGTAGTCTCCGTCTGAGTAGATTATTCTTACCGGCTGCAGGGTCCATGAAACTCGTGAGATCTGCAGCGTAGCGATGAACTTGAGAGAGCAATGCCAGCATAGCCGCCACTTTTGTAGCCTCAAACACGACTCGTTCGTTTCTAGCTGCTAGCAGAGCCGTCACCGGCTCAGCAGATGGATAGACTGCCTTATTAGTTGCGTTCTCGAGCAGGAATCCTGAAAATTTCAAGATCTCGTACACCAGTTCGGTTACCTCTAGCTCCGTCTGCGTTGCCATTGGCTGGTCTGTCTTCTCCAGCTCTGTTTCCACCAATACGAGGTGAGGACACTGCTGTAGCGCCCCCAGCAGCAGCTTATGCAGCTTCAATAGAACCGGACGCCAATTCGCCAGGTCCACCTGAGCCTCCAACGGCCAGCCCTTAACGCACGCCAGCAGTGGAGCAACGCGCGCTTCCGCCACTTGAAGAAGTACGTCCATGAGCTTCCGCTCCTTGTCGCTGGGCGGCGCGCGCGGCATTACGCCGGCGCCGACCGCCTGCATCCTTTTTCTGTTCCTTGTTTCTCGGCCTCTAAAGACTCCTCGAGCGTGACCGAGAGCTCTACTCACACGCGAGATGATATACCGCGCGCTGTGCTTCTTGCCGAGAGTCTCGAAACGCTGAGAAAGCCTTACGAGTTGTGAAAAAACGAGCGGTCGGATGCGGTCCGAGTCTTCTCGCTTGCGTTTTAAAATGTGGGTGCGGGGGAGGAAATCTTTCATAATCCAGAGATCGGATTGGTCAAAATTCAGTCAAAGCTGCGTCAAGTGGACGCAGCACTTACCACTACCACTGGTAGTTGAACACATAATGACACCGTTTGATGAATGACATCTTTCTATTGAAGTTTTCTAGGGTATTCTTAGTGCAGGAAGTGAGTGAAGGCCTGGTTTTTCGTCTCCTCCTCGCAGCGGAAGCCCACCTGGCTCAGGAATGCATGGAATGCCGCATTATCCTTCTTGGGCACCTGGAAACCGACGAGTACGCGGCCAATGTCGGCTCCGTGATTGCGGTAATGGAACAGACTGATATTCCACTGACGCGCAGATTGACTGCAACAGCAACAAACAGGAAACAAATGAGCATGCAAGGTTTACCAGCAATTCAGCGGCTAGCTGCCGTACCCGAGAGTATCGAGGAAGTCCTTCAGCGCGCCGGGGCGTTCGGGGAACTCAATGCGGAACACCCGCTCGTTGGTGACCTGAAAAATGGGCATATAACGGCAGGTGAGCTCAGGCTTCAGGATTAAAATCAGCGCTATTGTAGCACAGCGACTTACGTTCTCAGGACGGCCACCAGCGAGGTGACGCAGATGTGACTTGGCCAGCTCGTTGGAGGCCAGATCGGTGGCGTGCATGTCGCCGCGCTCGTTGATGGCCTTAACGACGTTGACAAACTCTTCCTCGGTCTTCGTCTGGATACTCATGCAGATACGAGCCTCACTGTCACCCTCGGAGTCCATACGGTACGTGAACTCGGTCACGTTGTGTGGGACTGTTACGAAGAGGGAGAATTAACAGTTAGCAGAGTGCGCTCCAGTATTCATGATTAAGCACTTACAGATGACGTTGTAAAGTTCCTGGTAACTACCGATCTTCTCGGGGATCTTAACAGCCATAAACCGCTCGCGATCATCTGAACGCTCCGAGACAAAACGCAATCGATCAAAGTCCATGTTAGCGGCGGCCAGTACAGCCACGTATTTTTCGTTCTGCGCGTTCTTCACACGAGCATACTTCTTGGCACCAGCAACACTGATCGCACCTGCTCAACGTAATCGAACCAAATCAGACTTTCCGCTAGAATTTGCTCAAAAGAATGATACTCCAGTCACGTACCAGTGGGCTCCATGAGTGAGCGTGTGTCGCCAAACACGTCTTTAATGGCAGAGCAGATCTCGTCGGTCGAGACAGTAATCACTTCGTCCACCAGGTCCTTGCATAGTCGGAAGTTCTCCGTGCCAATGGTCTTAATGCCCACTTCCTCCGTAAATCGGTTGACACTCGGGATGGCCACTGGACAGCCCTCCTTCAGCGAAGCTTCCAAGAGGTTAGCGCCTTCAGCCTCTACGCCGATGACTTTCACATCGGGAGCCACCTCCTTTACATAAGCGGCAATCCCAGCAATCAAGCCACCTCCGCCCACAGGGGCAAAAATCGCTGCCGGGCGTTCTCCAGCCGTCTACTCACACCAGTACCCAAAGCAATTATTAATCAAACTTTGCACGCTAATAATGGTTTTCTTAACCAGCACAAGCCCGCACCTCCTTCAGGATCTCCATGGCGATCGTGCCGTTTCCAGCGATCACAAATGGGTCATCAAAGGGATGCACCAGGGATCGGCCCTCAGTCTGCGCAACACGGAACGCCTCTTTCTTCAAATGGTACAGTGACATAACACACTTAGCTTTCTATCGACGTGACAGCCAAAGTCTCCACAGCTACCAACGCACCATTGATGCATCAAAGTCGGCACCGTGTTCCACCACCGTGATCTTGCTCTTGGTGGAGTAAGAAACGTTCTGTGCCGTGCCGACAGGCGCAATGACGATGGCATCGACGTCCAGCTTAGCGGCGGCGTAAGCCACGCCTTCCAGGTGGTTGCCGGCTGCACAGGCCACAATGCCCCTTTCTCGCTGGGCCTGCGTCAGGTTGGCAATCTTGTTATAGGCGCCACGTAAGTTGAACGAGAAGGTGGGTTGCATGTCCTACGACAGCAGCATAACAGTTATTTCGTATCAGATTTAATCGGAGCCACAGCATACAGTTACGCACAAACCTCGCGCTTCAGGAAGAGGCGGCAATTGCCCGGCAGGGACTGCGTCAGCGCCGGAGCGAGCTGCAGTGGCGTCTGGACGACTACGTCGTAGACGCGGCTCTCAAGCACCTCGCGCAGGTAGTCGTGCGAGCCCGGGCGCACCCAAGACGGCTTGGTGGTCAGCGATGACAGACAGCGCCGCAACATTCTGGCAGATCGAGTTGTGACGAAACTACTCGAAAGTCGAGCCGGAACGTTCACTGTTGCAGAAAATAAATCATGTGGTGCACACAAGTGGTTGTTTCTAGACAATTTTTTTTTTTGGTACAGTATAAATACAATGCCGCGCTTCTGCACGGTAATCACTACAGTGGTCACGGTACCGAAATTAACGTATTTCTTGCAGCATCGTAAAAATGCTTTTGAAGTTGAATCGTAAGAACTAAAAAAAGTAAATACTCATAACCCTGCACTAATTTTCTCGCCAGAAGTGCTGGTGGCGGGCAGCACCACTGGCGAGCTAGATTGCTTAAATATTCATTTTCTAAATGGGCAGGACATCACCCAACAAGAATCGCAAGAAGCACGAAGCGGTGCAAGCAACAATAGCTCAAGGAATCAGCCAAGCCCTCGCCGACGAGTACGACGTTAACAGGACGACGTTGTGGCGCTGGGCTCAAGACGCCAAGCGTGTCGAAGTAGCTGCAAAGGAGAAGCCCAACAAACCTTTGTCACCGAAGGCAAGCGGGGTCCAAAGCCTCGGTTCTTGGCAATGGATCGAAGGTAAAGCTTTGAGGAGCTAACTATTACGTTTCATCGCTAACATTGTTATTCTTCTTACTTATGTACCACAGATTGCTTAACTGGGTTATTGAGATGCGCGCAAACAAATCCCGCTGTAAACAAATTGAGCTTTATTGCTGGTTGAATTTATGGTACATTTAAAAACTCTTTTTTCTATGTATATTTTACAGGTGTGACGACCGAATGTCTTCTTATCATGGCAGCCCGATTTGAGCCCGAGTTTTTCTCTGGTCGCTCTGAGATGGCGGCAATCATGTACCTGCACAGATTTCGCTGGCGAGACCGCTTGTTCATTCGGCGCATCACTTACCGGGGCACCAAAAAAACGGATTGAAATGGAGGTAACCTGTGTTTGCCTCTCTAATTTGATTTTATCTTTCTAATGTTTCATTTTTTATAAATGTTTTTAGAAATTTGCTGACGAGTTTTCTAAAACTGTTCAATACAGTTTAGAGGAGTCTAGTGTGGTGTCCCACATTGTTGGCTCTGCTAAGTTCGCGTCTGTCTTCAACATGGATCAAACGGCAGTCTACATCGACATGACCCCAACACGACGATCGACTTCGTGGGTGCCAAACACGTCGACGTCGTCCAAGGTAAAAATTGTTTTCTTTTTATAATTTTAACCTTTCTACTTCTGAAGTAATATTTTATTATGTTAGGGGATGACGGAAAATGCTTTTAGAGCTTCTGTTTTTCTCTGTGCGTCCGCCACCGGGGATAAGCTCCCACCGATGATTATCTTCGCTGGAGCTGTTGGTGCTACTGTCGAGGAGGAAGTGCAGCAAAGTCCGTTGCATCGTCACCAAGCTATTCTGACAGTTCAGAAAAAAGCTTATTGTTACGAGTCACGCATGCTCTATTGGATTGACGAGGTGAGCCACCGTTTCATTTTTACTGTTGCTAAAGTGCTAATTTGAATGTTCTTTTTTAATAAATCTAGGTCTGGAAGCCCACCGGGTACTCGATTTCTACTTTTAGACAGCCTAAAAACACACAAGATGGACTCTGTAAGACTGAAGTTACAAAATGAAGTTAGAAGGCAGTAATGAGGTCGAGTTCATCCCGCCTGGAATTACGGGTGGCGCAACCTACGGACGTTTCTGTCATGCGAGTGTTTAAGAAGCGATGCCGTGAGCTCGTATGTAGCCCACCACATCGACAACGGCTTCTCTCCCGACCCAGCCGCCCGCCGCGATCTCATAACCCGTATCGTTGTCCAAGCTTGAAATGAAGTTCCCGCTAAGACTATTCAGTGGGGTTTTATTCGTGCAGGTATTGTTCCGTCTGGACCACGGGAGAGTAATGGTCGGTTTGGAGTAGCTAAACCAGCTCAATAAACTGTTTTTTTGGCGGTTTGAATGTCTTATATTCTACTCAATACTACAATAAAACGTTTTTGCAGCTACAATATGGAAGTTGGTTGGAAGAAGGGGTAAAAATATAACGAAATCGTCGTCTTCCAAGCTTTTTACGCGTCGTTGCATGAAATATAGTTGTTTCAAGAAATAAGCTAACTCCGGTAATTAATCTAAGCTGATAAATAATCTCATTCACAATATTCTCACTCAAGTTTGCTGAGAATTATTCACGTGAACAAACTTTTTTTTAATCTCAGTTGTGGTTGATATCGTGTACTCACTATTGGGCTTGGTTATGGATAAATATCATCAATTCTCCGACCCTACTTAATTTTAGTATTGGTATTAATCACCAATAAACCTTTTTAATTAATTAGACAGCCAATCGTACGGTCTTGACAAAATGATTTGGCCAATCCAAATGGTAAGGGCTAGGCTGAACGTCGTTGGAGTTGGCTCCGACATATCGGGTCGGAGGGGACTCAGGAAATATGGATATGCTCTTACAAATTTCAATATGTAGGCATATCACATGCATAAAGTCTTTTCTCCGACTTCTCCGACCAGTGCAATCATTACCACACATTAATTTTAAATCTTAGACTTATTATGCTACTAGTAGTAAATTTTAGAAGAGGTGGGAAGCAGCGCCGCAGGGAGCTTGCTCGTCATTAGGAGCAATACATGCAACACCCCTGCGTGGAGATCCATTATTTTTGTATTACGTAGAGCATTATGTAGCAAGCGTCAATTAAATGTACATGTATTGCATTATTAATATTTAAAGCACTCCGGCTCGCTGCCTCCGGTGCACCGCTCTGCCGCCGCACCGCCGCCGCCTCCCTCCTTTTTTTTGTGAATACATTTTCGATGTGGCCCGCAGTTAAAAAAGAAAGCTTAATATATTTGTTTTAAGGGTTACTGACTTAGATGTACCACCCTTTTGGTACAGGTCGGATATTTTATGTTATGGTGCAGTGGTCAATGATCGTCCTAACCAATCGCCGCATTGTGAGGTCAAGCCCCGCAGCAGCAATGCATCGGGTGTCAATTGTCCCTTTTAGAGCTAGGTCTGTGGTGATGTATGTTCTGTGGAGTGTTCTGTCCCAATAGTTGGCATCCGTTCGTTGCTCGGCTGTAAACACTGATGTTCATACTTAAGAAAAGTTTCACTGTATCTATTTTATAATACCAGCAAAAGTACAAATTGGCTGTGGCTCTAAATTATATGATTGCATGTACTTGTGCCTAAGCCTTCTTCATTTCATGATGTTTTTTTTTAAATAATTCTCTCTGCCACTGTACAGTCCAGTGACATTCCAACCCTCTGTTCTAGCTGTAAATCCTGCTAATAGTTGGCTCTGAAACCAATCATTTTCAAATTTTCTGCTAGACCGACACTTCACTCACCGCTCGCACTCAGCACTCATGAGCAACTTGACTACAGAACATCCTTGTGGAGGGTGTGGCGCTTTGGTTGGCGGTGTTCACGTCTGTCCGAAGTGCAGGATCAACATGCACCCTTTCATGACACCCCTGTCGGAAAAGAGGGATACGGGCAGCCTGTACTCTGCCCACGCTGTGAGACCCAACAAGATGCCATTGTATACAGCGATGGATCTCCGATCATCGCGGCATTTGAGCGTACCGCTCAAGTTTCCTGCAGTCACAAGGTGGATTCTGTGTCTGCAACTGCGACTTCAGAGTCGAAAAATGAAGAGGAGAGTGACGAGGCTATCGTTGCCGATGAGACCTCTATGCCACCGCGCCATCGAAGTAGACCCGCTACTACAGCCATTTCAAAGCGTCAGAAGATTGTTCGCTGGATAGAAGATCAAATGAGTCAGCGGTAAAATCACAAGGGTATTTATGCCTCTGTTGTAGACGAATTTCCTGAGATCTTCAACTCGCGAACAAGGAACGCCAATATTGCCAAAACTATGGGCTGGTGGAAGAAAAAAGGAACCCTCTTGGCAGCTACAAAGTGGTATATGACGCTGTCGTCTCGTCCTTAAGGATGTAGAAAGCGCGTGAGCCTCAAGGTTTTATCTGGGCGCGGACGTTCACGCGCCGTATGGGTGTCTTGGCTGTATGGGCATCTCTTGGATAAATTTGACCGTCTTCGAAAAGCGGGGCTCAAGTTTGACGCCAGTATGCTGCGTCAAATGGCACTGCGAATCCTACGTACGCAAGGAGTAGGCCATGATGAACAAAGTGTAGATGAGAACGGTGCTAAGCTCTACGATAAGGTGATTTCACGGTGGATTCAAGTTTTATGGAGAATCATGACATCGTGTTGCGAGCTCAAACCGGCAGAAAGCAGGTCAGTGCAGCTAAGCAGACTGCGATAGATCAAGAAGTTGCGCGCCACCTAGGTGAGGTGAAGCGTGCATTTGAGGATGGCTCGTTGAATGAAGAAACTGTGGAAAATATCGATGATACATACTTTGTAGTCGACTTCGACAACAAGAAGACGCTCGGGTTTGTCGGCGACAAGCAAGTTAAGTACGCGGATGTTGTGTCAGGCGGGGAGGGCATCACGATGGCCGTGAGGATATCAGGTGGTCCTGGAGCACGCATTTTGCTTCCAATGATGATAAGGACTCCAAATATTCGATCCGCGGCGTGAAGGACGATGTACCCGGAGTTTGTTATCGTACGGGCCCGAAAGGGTGGATGGATAAGAGCGTGTTTCGGCAGTATCTCTCTGAGAAGAGAGCGATGAGTTCAGATCGCCTAGGCCGAACGAAGACCATCTTCTTGGACAATTGCGCATCTCATTTAAGCAAGGAAGAATGAAAGGTCGAGCTGGCTACTCTTAATGCCAAGCTACATTTCTTTCATGCCAACGCCACGGATCTGTGTCAGCCAGCGGACTCTTTCGTGATAGCCAAGATTAAGAATGTTTGGGCTAGACTGTGGAACGAGAAGAAGATTGACCTTATCGAGGGAGAGCAGTGGCAGGATACAGTCAGAAAAGATGGGCCGTGGTCGGGAAAACTGCGGAATCCGGGCAATAAGGTTTTCCTGTCTCTTGCTGCTCAAGCTGTACGCGA